CCGCCTCAACCCAACCCCCATCAAACAACCATGTGCACATAAAACAATCAATCACATAACAAATCCTTAACCAGACTATCAGTCTAACAGATCACATAGCATATCAACATCCTAACCAGGATTCCGACCTAACCGGTCACTAGCATAACATTACCCTATATACCGGGTACCGACCTTAACCAGGTCACTAACATAACACCATCCTAAATACCAGGATGCAGATCTAGCAAAGCAATAACATAACAAACACTACCCGGATTTCCATCCGATAAAGGGCCGGCCTTGGTGCCGTAGACCCTGTCGATATAGTGAGGATAACTCACCTGCAATTGCCGACTGAAGAGATAAGACCAAGCTGCTCCGACCACCGACACGAACTTCACCACAGAACACTACCAAAGAACCAATTCCATAAATACCAAAATACCCTTGGAAGTCAAACTGGTCAACTCTTGGTCAAAGTCAAAGTCTCCAGTCAAAGTCAACCCTCCTGGTTGACTCTACTCGCCGAGTCAACCCGTCGACTCATCGAGTCCTCATAATCAGAAAACTCCCATAACACGACTCAACTCGCCGAGTCGCCCCAAGACTCGTCGAGTCCAACGATCTCCGAGTCCCATCCTGACCAACTCACCGAGTCACCCCTCGACTCACTGATCTGCGTCTTAACCAGAAGAGGTTAGGGGTTCTGCGACCTGACTCGCCGAGTCCAAGAACAGACTCGCCGAGTCCAAGCCAATCTTCAACAGACTCGCCGAGTTGTTCTTCAACTCGCCGACTCCATGCCTATCTTCATGTGACTCGCCGAGTCCACCCATGTGACTCGCCGAGTCCCTTCAGCACTTCATCCATACAGAGGCTTTTTGAGCCATGCAGGGGTTCCAAACTATAGATCCACTCTTCTAGGGCATAACTCCCTCGTAAAGTTGCAAACTTTACGTGAAACCAAGGGGTTAAAGGTCCAAAATCACTCTAGGGCTAGGGTTTAAGACAAAGGGGCTTCACCAACAATTCACTGACTGATGCTTTATGACATTCTAGACCAACACAAGTCTAGATCTGGAGTAGCAACTTCAGATCTAAACTCCAAACCCGAAATAGATCTTAAACACACCAAAATGGCCCCAAATCTCCTACATGAATAGATCTAGATGCAAAAGAGTGAAGGTAACAATTTATTACCTCCAAGATGTGCCCAAACTTCAGTAGATTCTGGATCTACACCACTCTCTTGATGCAAGCCCTTTTGATCTTCAAGTTTCTTCCACTAGAAACAACTTCCAAGCTTCAATCTCCCTCCAAAGGCCTCACACACACGAGCTTAGGGTTTTCTGGTTCTCAAGGGCAATAAGGAGGCTGAGAGAAGGACATAAAGTCCTTTAAATAGGGTGCAACCCCCGAGATTAGGGTTTTCTCATTCCAGCACCAACTCGTCGAGTCCAAGCAGCCGACTCGGCGAATTGGCCACTTAAACCGCGACCCAAACCCGCTCCGACTCGGCGAGTAAGCGTACCTACTCGTCGAGTCCCTTCTTCGAGATTACACTTTGCACCCTTCAACTTTTTGCTTCCGAACTTGGGATGTTACAGTTTTGATAATATTATCATGTTTTTGGGACAATTTCCGCATAATAAATCTTTTCAAGAATACTCTGATTTAATAAACATAAACAAATCGGTCTGGCCGTGAAAATGGGGATGATACAGGGGGTATGAGCAGTAGGTGGCGTTTGATGCTTTGGTGAACAACGTTGTTCTTTTTGATCAGACATATATGCAGGAGCGGTCTTTGGATTCTTATAATGAGTTTTCAGTCTTCTGCTAGGTGTTTCTTAGATAGCCTTGTGGTGTTGGGGACTTGGGTGTCGACTAGATGGAACGACTCTGCTCCTATCAAGTTAAATATCCCGCTTTGTAGGATCAGTTTGGTGTGTATTCCTACTTAATAGAAGCTTGTTGATCATGGTTGGAAGTGGAGTCGATTTTGTGCCTAACTTGTTTTGGAGGGGGTTGAAATTGTTAGTAATTTGTTCTCCTAATGTATCTTTATTGTAGTTATTTAGGGGCTCATTGGTAGTTTGTGGAGTGTTGATATTCCCGCAGTAGTGTCTGTTGATTCTCGCATTAAGTGGGACGATATCGTGCCTTTATCGACTAACCATAAAAAGTGTTTTGATGTGGTTGTCATTACAGTGTTGTGAAATTTTCGCAATGTACAAATTTTTGTAACAGCTAAACCCAAGAAAGTTCATATTTTCAATGATGAAGTCACTAGATCGTTTTTCTGGATTTTTTGTAAAACCTGGCTTTAGCTTGTAGCTCTTTGTAATTTTCTTTTCTAGTTTTTTGCTAGTTGTTTATATAAATTCTGCCAATACATAACAAACTCAAGTTAATGATCACCATGATATTATTCTATAATTACAACCTTTTATGATAACTACTTAAAACATTATATGAAATTATGAAACTATAACAAGGGCATACAATTAAAATTTAGAAACCAATATGTTAAGTATATTATTATTATTATTATTATTATTATTATTATTATTATTATATTATTATTATTATTATTATTATTTTTATTTATTTATTTATTTTTAATAAAATGAAATCACTCCGTTTGCCTTTCTTTTTCAAGTATAGACGAAATAAGAAAGTTCGAATGGGTGTGAACGAAGATGTCCTATAAAAAGTTGGTGTTAGATCCATGAAGGGAAGCACATTGGGTTTTGGTTTGGTAAGAAACAAAACACGTGAACTTTATTTGGATGCTTATGCTTTCATCCCCGTGACTAAACATGACACAGACCTCACAGTACTGTTTTGCTCAACTAAATTTATATTTATTTGTATCTTATGAACTCTATTTATATTTTGGTTAGTTAAACAAGTATTAAAATAAACATTAATTCCTAGATCGACTGCTATAATTTTTATTTTTAGATTTAAATATGCAATGAAGTTTTGTTCTATGACAAAATAATGAAGCATGGTAACTTGAAACCGCTAACTTCATGACATATGAGAAAATTTTCACATTTACCAATTTATGTTTTCACTTTCCACTACTAGCTAGAAAAATGATTTTTTAGAGATGGATTAAATATAGTTGCATATTTTGTTTAAAAAGTTAGTTTGTTGTATAAGTCAAAAAAACCCAAAATGTCATTGCATAACAAACAACCCTTTTTTAGTTAAACAAAAGATCTTATTTTTAATTTTTTTTAATTAAAATGATCAAATTTAGGTACTAATTTACTATAATGATTTTAGGGGAATATATATATATATATATATATATATATATATATATATATATATATATATATATATATATATATATTATTACTTATCAAAACATAAAAAATCTATATGTTTATGCTTACCTTGCTACTTTTTAAAAATATATATAGTGGACCTATTCAATGCAAATTTTATGTCCTTTATGTTTACCCATAAAATATATCTGAAGTACTATTTCATAAAAATGTAAAGGTAACTAAATAATATGATCTATTTAACAAGGTAGACACCCTTTTGATTTTTCTATCAAAATGATCATTAATTTTGTAATATAGATTTTATGAACAATGAAGTGGATTTTTTTTTATAAACATCATTATATTTTTAGCTTTTTATTCATTACTTTAATTATTTTTTTAGAAAACCATTTAGATTTCATAAAATTAGCAATTTTGACTGTTTTAAAATGATATAACAAACAATAACTTTAGATTTGGAACTAAATGTTTAAAAAAATTATTTAGTTTAATTCGATTATTAAATGAATTTAATAATTTATTATCATATGTATGGTAAAATAATAGTTTCTATTTATGAGAAAATCCTATAAGTGAACCGCCTGATTAAGAAGGGGACCTTCAAAAATGACTAGAATACAAAAGATATAGTTTTAAGAGAAATTTATAAATTTAGCTAAAAAACACTAACAAAAATAACTAAAATTTAACAATTTTTAAAAAATAGCCATTCAATTCGGAAGTGATTAATCACACTTCACACCTACGAATTCCTACATTCTCATTTTTATTTGAGTATGTTGGGTTGAGAATTGGGTCCAACAATGGGCTGGAAATATAATCTCTCTCTCTCTATATATATATATATATATATATATATATATATATATATATATATATATATATATATATATATATATATATTCTTCAGAATCCGTAGTCATTTTTTTGGAAAAAAAAGATTATTTGAGGGTATATTGTAGGTGGGAACAGAGCAAAGAGCAAATGGCAGGTGGAGCACAATCATCTGCGATTTGTTTAGAAAAATCTAAAAAACCTTTTAATAGATATTCATTCTTGTCGGGTCATGAGACGGAAATTGGGCTAAAATAACTGTCCAAGAAAATAATTCGCAGTTGGAGGATAGCAAATAATAGATGAGGTCTAGTCGTCTGCTATTTCCTTGGCTAGTTTTTGAAAAAATGATTTTTTTTTGTTAAAATTTAAAAAGTAATTAACATTTTGGCTAAATTTATAAATTTCTAAAGTTTTAATCGTTAAATTGCAAAATTTACAAAATGTGAGTGTTTTTTTTCTTCAAAAAATGTAAATCAGTGGCTATTAAAATATTAAAAAATGTAAAGACTTTTCTGAAATTATCCTTATAAAAATTGCTTTTTTATTAGTTCATACAAAAAAAACATTCTTTTTGTTTTTTTTTTTTGAGAAAAAATAACATATTTTGCAAGATGTAGTGTATTTATATGTTGTGAATTCATGAAGTCACTTCACATTATTTTTGAACTTTTTTGAATGTCTTTTTCCGGCAAGAATAATTTCACAAGTTTTTAAATTTTTAGTAATTGGTTTATTACGAGACAGGTAGCCATTTTAATTATTGACCGACAAAATAGTCGATTTGTATCTATTTTTGTCTAGTCGTTATCCATTATATGAATGAATAGGTAAAATAGTAAGTTAATGTTTTATTATTATTATTATTATTATTTTTAAACATCAACTTAATTCAAGGGTGAATTTAGTCCTCCAAATTCTGTAAAGAATCAAATGTGCAGTTCGCAACACCTCGAATGGCTCCAGTCACCTTCATCTTACACCTCTTCTTCCTCATACCATTTCTGCAAATCAACTATTCCCATTCTCAATCCCTTCGTTCTCTACAAACTCTATTTACCACTTTCAATGCACGAGGTACAACTAACTACTGCCCCAGTAGCACCAGCAGCAGTGTCGCCATCAACCTTCCTACATTAATTCCAAACTCATCTTTAACACTCGTATGCTACAACAACATCATCACTCAACTTCACATAACTGGGGACAACAACAACAGATTTGACCATGAATACCTCTCAACTGAATCTTTCTTTTACACCATTTCTGCCATCTTCCCTAACTTGAAAGTCCTCTCTTTGGTTTCTCTAGCCCTCGATGGTCCTCTACCTGCTTCTGTTCTTGCTAAAACAGTTTCTTCTTTGGAAATCCTCAACATTAGCTCAAACCATTTCCATGGCGACATACCTTTCGAGCTTTCTTACTTAAAAAACCTTCAAACACTAGTTCTTGATCACAATAACTTCTCAGGATCCATCCCTGATTGGCTTGGTAACCTCTCATCCTTGAGAGTTTTGAGCTTCAAGAACAATTCACTTAATGGGTCTTTACCTTTTTCACTCTCCCGATTACTCTCTCTTCGTGTTCTTGATCTTTCCAAGAATCAGTTATCAGGTGATGTCCCAGTTGATTTCAAGAATCTAACGAATCTTCAAGTCCTTGATCTTGAAAGCAACCAACTTGGACCTAGTTTTCCAGTTCTTCATAACAGGTTGTTAGTTCTAGTGCTAAGAGAGAATAGATTCAGTTATGGCATTCAGGGGTATGATCTACGTTCGTTTTTCCAGCTTCGAAAAGTCGATCTTTCTTCAAACGAATTCAACGGGCCTTTACCCGATTTCTTGTTCTCCCTCCCTTCCATTTCGTATCTCAACTTCTCCGGGAACAAGTTCACCGGAAAGTTATCAGCGAACGTTTCATGTAACGACGAACTGGTATCAGTGGACTTGTCGTTCAACAGATTCACCGGAGAACTGCCGACATGCATGCAAACATTAGAGAACAATAAAAGAGGGAGCGTTTTATACGGATGGAATTGTTTATCAAATGTCGACAAGAAACAACAGCATAATGATTCGTTTTGTCATAACGAAGCTCTAGCTGTTATGATTAAACCTCCTGTAAGTGGAAATGACGATTCTTCCAAGTCGTCGAAGGTTAAAATGGTGGTGGCTTCGAGTGTTGTTGGGGGTGTTGTAGTCGGAGGAGTTGCAGTGTTTGGTGTCGTCTTGGTTGCGATTAGGAGCGAGTTTTTTGGTGGAGGATGTGCAGCAGCGACACCACAAATTAGAGTTTTAGTTGAAAAGATTTCATCTGCTTATACCATTAAAATGCTGACTGATGCAAGTAAGACTTCATCTCCTCTTCCTCTGTTTTCATGAATCGGATCTATGTGGTCTGTGGTCAAAATCCCGGAAATTAGGGTGTGTACTGTGCAAAAAACCCAAACCAAATAAAAACCAAAAAAAAATAAAATGAAGCGGTTTAATAAAAACGACCGTTTATTTTCTGAAAAACCGAAATTTTAGGATTGGTATGGTTTTTTTATCTGAAAAAGTTTTGTTTGTAAATACAAATTTAAAACTTTTATTTTATACCAAAAAAAAAAAAAAAAAAACTCATAATGTAAAATCTATTTAAATATCTTTTAACTTTTATATTTTATATAAATTAACACATTTAAAACTTTTTGGATTAAAGTGTTAAACTGTTTTTTTTAGGAAAGATACGGTTGAACATGTTATGATATCACCAAGAAAACAAAATAATATTATAAAAAAAACAAATTCTAGGTTTTTATTTTTCTCTGTAGGTAGGTCATTTTAATTTTACATTTTTGACATAAGTTTTAAATTTTATTATTTAAAACTATAAATTTTGTTCCAGATATGGTCTATTTTTTTCCCTACAAATTCACATCATTCTTTTTACAACTTTACTATTTGTATAACTTTAGTTTTAGAATTTATTAAACATTTTTAATATTTTTTTTACATGTTTTATAAATTTTCATACAACTATATGGTTTTTTTAAACTTTAAATTTTTTTATTTAAATATAAGATGTTTTACGAAAAAGAATATTTCTAAATATTGTAAAATGTATTAAAAAGGTTTTTAGACAGTTTTTTTACAAATACTTACACAATTTTTTTTAAAAAAATTCACAAAATTTCTTTGAACTTTTTAATACTTCGTTTATAACACTTAGAAACTTATAAAAATGTTAATATATTGCATTAAAAAATTACAAAATAAGTTTATAACATTATATTAAAAAAAATATAAAACAAGTTTATTATTATTATTTTTTTTGTAAAGGAATGTAAAAAATTCATAAATTTTTTTATGAAAAGATTTAAAAAAGTTTAGAAAAGGTTGTAAAAAATATATTTTAAAAAAAGTTTATAAAAATTTGTATAAAAAAACTAATTTTAGGGTGAATTTATAAAAAAAAATTTTGGACCATATTTGTAACTAACTTCAAACTTTAGACAAAAAAAATTCAAAAACTGGACGGAAAGTGCCAAACTAGTATAACATGTGGAAAAAACAAATAACTATTTTTACCGAGCATACCCTCAACTGAAAATAAATTTGAACAAAACCATTTGTATATATTACATTTATGAGTTCTTTATATGCTTAATTATATGACATATTGCTTAGTTCTATTGAACCTAGAAACTGAAATTGAAAGATAACAAGTTTTTGTGGTTAGAAACCGAATTTATTTGGCTTTAGGAAAAAGTGGCGGAACGAAAATTTTTGACACGGAGATACAAACATTGTCGAGATATATTTTATATAGTTATCCTATCCTGAACATTAAAAAAACATGGTATGATCATTTTAGCTGGGGTATAATAATATAAAACATGTTTACAAATAACTTTTTTATATATATAAAAAACAAATTTTTTAGGGATGCTATAATACCCCACCCTATATAGCTATGCTAATCTATGGTAATTTATACTAGAACTAAAATAATGTCAAATCTTAAAACCTTCTAAACGGGAAATGTCTGAAATCAGAGTCCCAAATGTAGGACTCCTAATACCAATCTATTAACAAACGAAATGATTAAATGCAGGATACATTTCAGAGACAATGAAGCTGGGAGCAGTTGGAATTCTGGCATATCGAACTTATGTTTTGGGGGAGTTGATTGAGGCCACAAATAACTTCCATAGATCAACTTGCATGGGCGATGGTTCTCATGGCCAGGTAATTGGTTTAATGAAAAGCAGAGACATTTTGATTTTAAATATAACAAATATGAAATTTGGTTATCATTTTAATCAAATTGTCCTTTTTAATTAAAACAATTCAACTAAAAATTAATATGTTTATGTTGCATATTCCATCAGCTTTACAAAGGCCAGCTTAACGATGGAAGTATAGTTGCTATTAGAAACTTGAAATTGAGAAAGAGGTGTAGCATCCAGAGTTGTACTCGACAGATTGAACTCATATCTAAACTCAGGCATCCAAACCTAGTCAACCCCATCGGTCACTGTTTTGAACGCCACACAGACGATTCAGCCATCATCCATGGCGTCTTTCTGGTTTTTGAATTCGTCCCAAACGGAACACTCAGAACCTCCCTAATGGGTCAGTATCGATTCCCTAAAAAAAACAAAAAGAGACACTTTGGATCTTATTTTCCGATAAGAACAGTGCTTCCAATCACCATAGCTTAAATACCCTTTTCGGTTTTCTCTTATCTTTGTGTCTGGTAATCTGGTTGTAGAATTTTTTTGAAAAAGTAAAAGATTCTTGACGATTTTGGAATTTGAAAATCAGTTGGATTGACCCAAAAAGTCAAACCCACAATCTTGAAGATATTAACTAATCTGAAGATTAAAATGGCAGCCGGACAGAAATTCTCCTGGGCACAGAGGCTTTCAGCTGCTATCGGGATTTCAAAAGGGATACAGTTTCTAAACACACGGATAACTGCTAAACTATTTCCAGACAACCTAAAAATAACCGACGTTTTGTTGGATCAAAATTTTCAAGTGAAGATCAGTGGCTATAATCTTCCTTTGCTACCAGAAACTAAGGTATATATGCCTTTCCGGTGTTTCAGTACTCATGTAAGTAAGTTGACGATGTATGTTAGCAGAAATTAAGATACGATTTTCTACCGCAGGTGGCTGCTGGACATTCTGCAACCAGATCGAGTGAAAATCTTGGAAGAAGTAAACGGTATTAAAGTTTAATTAACGTTTAATTAATGGAGTCAACGTTCATGGCATGCATCTCTGCTTATTAATGTTTTTCTTTGACGTTTATACTTTATACAGATTTGAAACGGAGGAGGATGACCATGATCATGTTTACGACATGGGAGTAATCATGCTAGAACTCATCTTAGGAAGGGCCATCGATTGCATAAGCGACATAACTATTGCTAAAGATATGGTAAGTTGTATTGTATACCAAGCTATGTGACTGTATATGTTCATAGATGTTTGGAATTAACGTCAAAACGTTAAAGTCATGCAAACTTTGTTTTTTGTTTACAGTTGCATGTAAGTCTGGTGGCGGATGAGGTAGCTCGAAGGAGTATCCTGGATCCTTTGGTTCGTAAGGAATGTTGTGATGAATCTTTAAAGACTTTAATGGAGCTTTGTCTAAGATGCATGTCTAAGGATCGACCTTCCATTGATGACGTGTTATGGAATCTAGAGTTCATAGCTCAGGCCCACACCTCATCAATGGAGGATTCGATGAATAATATTCAAACCTCAACAAACGAGAAGATGAATAATATTCAAACCTCAACAAATGAGACAATCGTCTCTATAACATAAATAGTTCAATAAGTTATTATCACATTTGTAATTGTTTCGAAATTCGTTGTAGTTTTGTGCTTATGATAGTGATATCTAGAACAATTAAAGACTTAATTAACAAATTTGTGTGTGATTAAAACTTACACATTTTGTACTACACCAAGAAATTTGCTATGACGAATTGAGTTACTTCAAAATCTTCACATGTTTACGCATGGAAAATTTGTTAAATTTCCGAACTTAACAATGCAGAGAATATGATTAACTTTAATAATTTGCATAGCACAAGTAAGAATGGACCAGATGCAATGGAGGCCATGCGAGCAAACTGCCCAGCTATCAAGTGCTTAAAATGAACACTCCCTTGTCCACTTTAGGCAATTTCAATGCGAGATCCCAAGCTGCGGAAATTTCGTGCAGACAAATAGGAAAGATGCAAAGGTTCACCTAAAGCTATATCTATCTGTGATAAAGTTAGTGTTCTAATCTCTTAGCATGATCCTAATTTGGATACACATCAAGTAGTAGGTTAGGCAAGTGATGCCTAATGTGTTAATCCTAGAGTCAACCCTTATAGTACAGCCAAATTGCACTTAAAATGAAACAAGTAGAATTTGTCTAAACAAATAGGGATGTGTATCCATGGATAGAAACTCACCTCAAAGTATTAATTGACAATCTCTCACTTCAACTCCCAAGTAAATAAACCACTTAACCTTCACCTATAGTTGTTCAATTATAGGTTTAACCTTCACCTAACACTTGTTCAATTATAGGTAAGTATACTTTATTTGTTCCTCTTATTAAGTAAATTATAATTACTAATCTTTCCTAAGACACTTTGACCCCCAAACCCTCATTACTTATCACTAGAGTAACAATGGAGGTGATGGAAAGCAAATCCGACACCAAATGACCAAGATATAAAATTTCGCTATGGAGTTGACATGCTAAGACACAACCCATGTATTTTTACATATGAAAAAACCCAAGACCCATGTATTGAAGATGCAACACCTCACGTGGTATCATGCTTGACACGTGATTTCTTTTAGTCCTATTAGTTTTCTGCATGGTTATTTTCTAACTTAGTTAATTTAGAGTTTGACTCAGTCATATAGTAGTAGTAGTGCCTTAGTGGGCAGTTTCCTTTTTGCAGTTGTTTCCTCTGTAATCGTAAGCCATATATGGCAACTTCCTTTGTTTTGTTTAACAGTTGAATTAATGCAGGAAACCTTTGAGTCAAATTCTCTCTTCCTCTGTTCTTTGCTTATTACAGTTGTTGTGTACAACTTGTGATTTTTCCATTCAGTCAACAATCTGGTATCAGAGCCTTTTCCATGGCTGAGTTTCAAGTTGTAGGCGGTGTTAAGAAACTCAACAACCAGAATTACAATACATGGTCCACCTGTATCACTTCGTATATGCAGGGACAGGATCTGTGGGAAGTTGTAAATGGTGCTGAGACAGAACAACCTGCTGCTGAAGATAATAATGGGGTTTTACGGAAATGGAAAATAAAGGCGGGCAAGGCTATGTTCATCCTGAAGACAACAGTGGAGGAAGACGTGTTGGAACATCTACGTGATGTGAAGACTCCAAAGGAAGCATGAGATACCCTTCTTGTTTTGTTCTCAAAGAAGAATGAAACAAAACTTCAACTCCTTGAAAATGAACTCATGTCGTTGGTGCAATAGGATATGCCGATTCCACAGTATTTTCACAAAGTGAAATCCGTATGTCGGGAAATCTCTGAACTTGATCCTCAACCAAGAATTGAGGAATCGAGAATGAAGAGAATTATCATTCATGGGTTTAAACCGGAGTTTAGAAGCTTTGTTGCAGCAGTACAAGGTTGGCCTACTCAGGCATCCCTTGTAGCGTTTGAGAATCTTCTCACAAGTCAAGAAGAATTAGCCAAACAGATGAGTCGTGTCTCTGTGAAGGCCGAAGATGAAGCTTTGTATGTAGGCAAAGGCAAGAGCAAGTCTAAGCCTCAAAACAACTATGGCAATAAGCTCCATAATGGGAGGTTTAAGAAGCATGACAACAAGAAACAACGTGAACTCGAGAAAGGAGATTCTTCAGGTGAAAAGAAAAACCATAGTTTAGGGAAACGTTTTCCATTCAAGTGTTATAATTGTGGAATTCGTGGTCACATGGCACACAACTGTCCTAGTGAGCCTAAAGAAGAAGGAAACACAGAAACCACGCAAGAAGAAGAACCTTGGGATGCTGAGGCTTGGTTTGTAAAAGATGAGGATGTCATGGCTCTTACTGCAACTGCTGAAAACAAAGGTAATAAGTTGGATGATTGGATAGTTGACTCTGGCTGTTCTAATCATATGACAGGAGAGAAAGAGCGATTACACAATGCAACTGAGTATGGGGGTAGTCGAGTGGTGGTAATTGCAGATAACTCTAGGCTGGCCATTGAAAGTATTGGTGATGTAATCTTCTCACCAAGCAAAAATAAGCAAGTCTTAACGCTTAAAAATGTGTACATGTCCCAGGTGTGAAAAAGAATCTACTCTCAGTATCACAAATGACATCTGCAGGTCATTATGTTGTATTTGGACCTAATGATGTAAAGATCTACAAGGAGTTTGAAACTCCATCTAAGGTTGTTTTACAGGGACGAAGAAACGACTCTATTTATGTTCTCTCTGCAGAATCAACTTATGTTGAAAAGACGAAGATTAATCAGAATGTGGATCTATGGCACATGAGATTAAGTCATGTAAGTTATGACAAATTGGAGCTAATGATGAAGAAGAAAATGGTCAGTGGATACCGGTGCTTGAAGTAAATAAGGAATTAGTGTGTGCATGATGTCAATTTGGAAAAGCCCATCAACTACCGTTTGAGAAATCAAACTTCCATGCAAAGGCACCTTTGGAGTTGGTACACTCTGATGTGTTTGGCCCAGTGAAACAATCCTCTGTCAAAGGCATGAAATACATGATTACGTTCATTGATGACCACTCAAGATACGTATGGGTCTATTTCATGAAAGAAAAGTCAGAAGCTTTAGCCAAGTTCAAAGAATTCAAGAGTGAAGTTTGGAGGGAAATAAAGCAAAAAATTCACTGCTTACGATCAGGCAATGGAGGTGAATATCTCTCACAATATTTCACTGAGTTCTTGAAAGCACACAACATCAAAAGACAGTTGACTTGTCCAAATACCCCACAACAGAATGGAGTCTCAGAAAGGAAGAATAGGCATCTGGCAGAGATCTCGGGCAACATGATTCATGATAAAAATGTTCCAGGAAGATTTTGGACTGAAGCCATGAGAACTGTAGCCTATGTAATCAATAGAATTCCACGGCAAGGTCTCTCGTATCAGTCTCCATTTGAAAAGTTGTGGAAAGTAAAGCCAAATGTAAGTCATTTGAGAGTATTTGGATGTGTGTGCAATGTTTTCATACCTGGTCATCTAAGACACAAGCTAGAGAAGAAGGTAGTACGAAGCATATTTGTGGGCTATGGCCAAGAAAGGAAAGGCTGGAGATGTTGTGATCCAATAACCGAAAAGTGCTATGTCTCGAGGAATGTGGTATTTGATGAAACATCCTCGTGGTGGACAACAAACCATGGAGTGCTTCCAGATTCAGAAAAGTTAAAAGAGAAGCTAGTAACATATGGAGTTAACTTCAATCTCAGCCAAGAGGAAAGTGTAATCGAATCAACTGATGTAGAAGAACATAATCAACAACCTTGGAGCTCAGGAGTATTCCACCATGAAGACACAAATGATAACTGTGAAGAGCCACCAAGTGTAAGATCGTCCAGACTCAAGAAACCCAATCCCAAGTATGTTAATGCTATTATAGTTGAACAGGAAGTGTGTGAACCTGATTCCTTTGAACAAGCGAGTACATAAAAAGAATGGATTGCAGCAATGGAAGAAGAAATGGGAGCCCTAATAAGGAATCAAACCTGGGAATTAGTTCCCAAACCAACTGGTGTTAAACCCATCTCGTGCAAATGGGTCTATAAAGTTAAGCAACGTGCTGATGGCTCGGTTGAAAGATGTAAATCCTGGTTGGTGGCCCGTGGATTCTCCCAGCAATATGGTATGGACTATGAAGATACGTTTAGCCCAGTAGCTAAATTAACAACAATCCGTGTGTTACTAGCTTTGGCAGCAAATAAAGGATGGAAATTGTGGCAAATGGACGTGAGCAACGCGATTCTGTATGGGGACTTGGATCATGTGATTCATATGACGCAACCTCAAGGGTTCATAAGCAAGACAAACCCTAACTATGTATGCAAACTCAAGAAAGCCTTGTATGGGCTTAAACAGTCACCTAGAGCATGGTTCGGTAAAATAGCTGAATTTTTCGAACACAATGGTTGGTCAATAACCAATGCAGATGCTAGCTTGTTCGTGAAGACTGAAGGAGAAAAAGTGGCTATTGTTCTGGTATATGTCGATGATCTCATAATCACAGGAGATCTTGATGATGTAATTGTTCAGTTGAAAGAAAACTTGTGTACTCGTTTTCACATGAAAGATATTGGAAAGCTAAGACACTTCTTGGGTTTGGAAATCGAATATGAAGTTGGAGATATGATCTTGCATCAACGAAAGTACTCATCAGACTTGTTGAAACGTTTTGGAATGTTCAACTGTAAGCGATCTTGATGATGTAATTGTTCGGCTGAAAGAAAACTTGTGTACTCGTTTTCACATGAAAGATCTTGGAAAGCTAAGACACTTCTTGGGTTTGGAAATCGAATATGAAGTTGGAGATATAATCTTGCATCAACGAAAGTACTCATCAGACTTGTTGAAACGTTTTGGAATGTTCAACTGTAAGCAAGCTGTGTCACCCATGGATACAAATGCAAAGTTGTATGTGGATGTTGGGAGAAAACTGGAAGATGAAACTATGTATAGGAAACTTGTTGGAAGTCAAATCTACTTAACCCTAACTAGGCCGGATATTGCTTTCGTGTTTGGAGTACTAAGTCGGTATATGCAAATCCCAGAAAACCTCATCTTGATGCAGTTAGAAGAGTCTTAAGATACATCAAAGCAACCATGAATTATGGATTTATGTTTCAGAGGGAACATGAATGCAAGCTGGTAGGTTATGGTGATGTTGATTACGCTGGAGATGGAAGTACACGTCGCTCCACTACAGGTTATGTGTTTATGCTGGGATCATGTGTTGTGTTGTGGTGCAGCAAGAGGCAGCCTACTGTGTCCCTTTCTACTACAGAAGATGAGTACCGAGCAGCAACTATGGCAGCCCAAGAATGTGTTTGGCTTGTCCAACTCCTAAAAGACTTAAATCAAGATGTAAAACCCAAGATTCCCTTGTTTTGTGACAACTTATCTTCTATTCATCTCGCAAAGAATCCTACTTTTCATGCTCGAACAAAACACATCGAAGTCCATTATCATTTCATTCGTGAGAAAGTACTAAAAGGGGAGATAGCTTTAATCTATGTGAAAACAGCTGATCAAGTAGCTGACCTTCTCACCAAGAGTCTAGCCAATCATAAACTCGTGGACTTTTGCAACTCTTTGGGCATTGTTGAAGCAGGTGTTGAGAGGGAATATTGAAGATGCAACACCTCACGTGGTATCATGCTTGACACGTGATTTCTTTTAGTCCTATTAGTTTTCTGCATGGTTATTTTCTAACTTAGTTAATTTAGAGTTTGACTCAGTCATATAGTAGTAGTAGTGCCTTAGTGGGCAGTTTCCTTTTTGCAGTTGTTTCCTCTGTAATCGTAAGCCATATATGGCAACTTCCTTTGTTTTGTTTAGCAGTTGAATTAATGCAGGAAACCTATGAGTCAAATTCTCTCTTCCTCTGTTCTTTGCTTATTACAGTTGTTGTGTACAACTTGTGATTTTTCCATTCCAGTCAACACCATGGACCCTCTGCAGGCCACCAAAACAATGAAAATTTCTTCCTCTCAAAGTTTTAGTTTAAATTAAGTAATTTTCTAATTGAGAAATTTATCTTAATATAATTATCTCCTTAATTAAAATATTTGACTTATTACAAAATAAGTCTCTCTGTTAGTTTCTAGTTAAACCATTAAGTATTGATGAGTAATAAACTATCCCCTGTATTTATTTATTTATTGCTTTTAGATTGTGGATTGTATGTAACTCAATAGGCCTACGAGTGTCACTAATTTGTTGTTTCGGTGAGCATATTTTTAACACATAACTCTTATAAAAAGATTCACAAGCATGAAATAAGTGCTCATCATATCTTAAACACATACCTTTTATAGACGATGCGGTATGGGCCAGAACGAGAAGCAACGGGCTGAGGTGGCACGCCTTAACGGCGTCGTGACGGGGGGAACACCGCCCCTTACTCGTTTTTGCTCGTCGAGAGTGAAACTCGTTGGCGTCGCGACCGGATGAAACGCACAAAATTTAAACGTTTTTCAACGTTCCTTTGGCAACGGTATAAAAAAAAATAATTATTAAAAAAAATCATTTACCCTATAAATACCTGCCATTTTATAAATAATTTCACACAATTTCTTTTATTCTCTCTACATACTTTCAATTATCTTCAAAAAAAAATATGGACCCTTTCGACTCGTCCGATGATTCAGATGACGATATTTTCTTCAGGATGGTGTATCATTATTATACTACCGACCTGCTACAACCAGACCCATCCCCGCTACTAACAAGACGTGCGATGTTAAACAAAAATCGAGAAGAAGGACACAAACATCTATATCGCGATTACTTTGCGGATAATTGTGTATACGGGTTGAAGGACTTCAAAAGAAGATTTCGTTTGAGTAGGAATGTGTTCCTACAGATCGCCAACGCCTTGGAAAGCCGGTATCGTTTCTTTACTATACCTTTATACAAAATAAATAAAAATCTAGTACATGTTTCTTTAATTTTACAACATATGCAATATATTTTTAAACTGTAGTTAATTTATGTTTAGGTATGAATTTTTTCAATTGAGATATGATGCTAGAGGTAGACGAGGGTTTACAACGTTGCAGAAATGTGATGCGCCCATTCGTTTGATGGCTATGGGGGAGTCACCCGACACCATGGACGACTATATGAGAATGTCTGAAAGAACCGCAAGGGAGAGTTTGTATACATTGTCAAGGGGTGTTGTTGAAACATTTGGAGACGTGTATTTGCGGAAACCTTCGTTGCATGATTTGCAAGAATTGTATGCGGCGCATGAAGAACGCCATGGGTTTACCAGAATGATCGGAAGCATTGATTGCACACAATGGAAATGGAAAAATTGTCCGATAGCATGGAAAGGGCAATACGCAAGTGGTCATTACAGATCACCTTCGTTGGTTTTAGAGGCTGTTGCTTCTCAAGATTTATGGATTTGGCATGCATTTTTTGGGGTTGCGGGTTCCAACAACGATGTCAACGTTCTTGATCAGTCGCCAATATTTGACGATCTTTTGAATGGAAAGGCCCCGGATGCTCCTTTCACGGTGAATGGAAACGAATACAAATATGAGTATTACCTTACAGATGGAATATATCCGCAGTATTCCACATTCGTGAAGGCATTCCGCCACCCGGTTGAAGAACGAGACAAATTTTTTAAGAGAAGACAAGAAGGAGCACGTAAGGATGTGGAACGGGCTTTTGGAGTACTGAAGGCGAAGTGGCATATAGTTGAACATGCAGCACGACCATTGGATTTAGAAACTCTACGATATATCATGTATGCATGTATCATAATGCATAACATGGTAGTAGAAGATAAAGGGCGAAATATTGCACACTATATCCCAACGGAGCCCAGACACGTTCAATTTCAACCAGGAACAGTAGAGTATTTGCATCGAGTTGTTGACATTCAGGACGCAAATAAACACAGACAACTTCGAGAGGACTTGGCGGATTATATCTTTTATGGTAACAATAACGATAACGAATAACGTTTAGTTTTAAAAAAAATGTTTTTTTAACGAATAGCGTTGTATTTTTTTTATTTTTTTTTTTATATTTTTTTTGGAATTTGGATGGTATGTGTAATTTAATTTATATGTTAATTTTAATCTTTAAAAATTGTTTTTATTATATGTTATTTATAATTTTTAAACATCATGTTTTATTTATTATGTTATATTTAAAAAATATTTGTCTAAATTAAAAAAAAAAGAAATTAGAAAAAAAATAAAAAAAAAATTATAAAAGGGAAAAAAGTTGGTGTTATAACAAGATGTAACATGGTGACCATTTCCCCACTTGGTGTTATAACACCATTGGTGATGTGGCATGTGAGGTGGCACCAAAATGGTGTTAAATCTAGTTGCCCACACCCAATGCTCTAAAAAGATTCACAACCATGCAATAAGCGCTCTTTTCTGAAGTTGCTTTAAATAAAGGACCAAAACACACATGAGAGCTGCCTTATTTGCCTTGTTGGTTATATGATATAGTTGCATTAGTTTGAAGATTCACTCAATAATGTAAAGAATAAAAACAAGTTAAGCTGTAACGGATTCAACTGATGCCGTACACTTTCTTATTCGGTTTACAAAACGCAGACAATTAAACTTTTTGGTTTCAAGCAACCAAATTAAATCTCCTACATTTAGGATTAGACATTTAGTGTATATGACCAATCCTGAAACACCGATGATCTACACACATAAAGAAGTAATATTTAAGAAGGCTAGATACCAATGAACGCCTTTGAATCCACTCAGAATGTTTCAGATACACTATTGTGGAAATGGGATGTCAGAAAGATCCTCTCTGTAAGGAGCATTTGTCAACTCTGGTCTTCTATTAGCATCATTTCCACTTTCCATGTTATCTTGAGCAATAGGGTCACCTTTTGATGGCTCAATATATGTAACCACAACATCCTTACGCAACATAAGGTAGATCACTGAGAGAACATAAGCAGCCATGACTGGAAAAACTAATATTGCAATAAACACATTAGCCACTTTTGGCCAAGTGCTATGGATTAGCCAATCGACAAATGCAGTGCTCAAGTAGTAGATGTTGATGCCAATTATTCCAAGTCCTAGTGCCCACGAGAAAAGAATGATCTGTAGAAGAAAAATAAACATATTAGAAAAGAATTTCAGGTATATCCTGGATTTACGAAACTGAAACTCACAAATATTGAGTTCTTGTGAGGTCCCATTTTGGTACTTGAGCTACTGAACTTGAGTAGTGGAATGAGTGCAAATGGAAGTTCAAATGACAGTATCATCTGCAAAAGATCCATACCGACATTAAAATCCAGTTTCAATGAAGCATGGATATCCTACATATAGAATGAAACTTTAAAGATGGAGTCACATACAGATGCTATTATAATTAGTCTTCCTGCTCCAGAAGGCCCACCAATTATTGACACTATTAGACTCGGTGTGATGGCGATGCACCTTGTTACCAAATTCCTGAGCCATTTCCTCATTTTTAAGTCCAGGAAACCCTAAAATAGCAAATAGTTCATGCTTAGTGATTATCAATATCAAAAAGTATCTGCCAAAGGCGAATGAATATTACATCCCAATAAAGACCTCTCTTAACCTACCGACATAATGAATTGTCCAGCATAAGTGCCTGTGATTGTTGAACTCTGACCAGAAGCTAACAGTGCAATTGCATAAAGAGTAGAGCCGGACTTTCCCAAAACATTCTGTGTAGTAAAAACCGGGGTTAATTATGAGAATTTTTGTGAATGTTGTTGGTATAGAAGTTATAAATTTGACATCTTATAAGCTCATACTTTTAGAAGAAATGAAGCTGAGTTAAGGGTGAGATCGCTGCAACGATCCATTTCTTCACTTGGTAGGTTTTTTTCTGAGCAAACAGTGCCAGAAACAGCGATCATTGAGACGTTAATCAAGAATGCTACAAAGAGAGCAATGCCACTCTCTATCAGGAAGTATCTGCATGCATCCTGTAATTCAAAACATCATCATGAATAGAGATAAGAACTCGAGTTCATCTTTTGAGAAAAAGTGTACATAATACCAAGAACATTATATCATGGAGGGACTTACATTGATGCCACGAACTGAAGTTGGTATCTTCCGAGTAAGAACAAGAGCCGAATGGAGAAACAAGTTATGCCTATCAAAAAGGGTGAACTTAATGTTAATAAACCAAAGTAGATTTAGGGAATCACAAAAATATGAGAAATAGGTTTTTTTTTTTTTGAGAGTGGGATCTTACGGCATGACAAGGGCACCAAGTAGAGCAATGGCATCACCAGTGGCGCCTTGACCACTAAGTTTAGGAATGAACATTCCCTTTAGCAAATCACCAGCTGGTGGCTTCACATAACTCATTTCTCCAAAGAAACAACCAGCCATCAGAAAAACTAGAATAGCTATCAATATTTCAAGCTTCCTCACCTGTGGATATATGAAACCAACATTGCATGTGTTGTCATATATATAAGGAAACACCAACTATGAAAACATGGAAAGAAAACGAATCATAAATGAAGTTCTTACACCATATTTTTGGAGGCCAAGAAGGAGGAGGGTGCTGAGACCAGTGAGAAGAACTCCAACCCAAACTGGAATCTTGAATAAGATATTCAGTGCAAAAGCTGTTCCGATCACTGCAAACATCAAAAGAAATTGAATCAAAATATTAAATGTTAAATCATATATTCACATCAGTTTCATGGATAAGATTAAAAATTAGTACCTTCGGGAATATCTGCTGCAATGACTGCAACCTCGGCTAGCAGCCACAAACAATACTTGACAAAGATAGGGTATTCAGCCTTACACAACTCTGATAAATGTTTCCCTGAATAACAGAATAACTAAAGTTTAGATATTTATATTTATTTCTGGATATATAAACAAATTCATAGGTCTAGTTCAGTGTACGTCTTACCAGTGCTTACACCAAGATTGGCAGCCAGAGATTGAATAACAAGTGCAAAGATTAGCCCGATTAAAATCACCCAAAGTAGCTGAAAATAAAGATTTTTTATTGATCAAAGTGGCCATTTTTTTGAACTAGAACTATGGTGTTTCTTGGAAAAAACGTTTACCTCGTATCTATGGTTGGCTCCTGCCTGTAAATCGGTTTCCACTGCATAAATTAAAAACATTGATAAATTTATAATGAGGATTAAGATATATAAACTACAATGAGATATGAGAAATCAAAACTTACTGTTGCCAGGATCGAGATAAGCCAATGACACTAGGAAACCAGGGCCAACAAAGGAGAGAAAACTTTTCCATCCAGGTTTCTGCAGATTATGGTTATCAAAATAATCAAAATGTTATTAAACAAATAGAAACTTCAAACATATGGTTAGATATCAATCTTGAAATTAACGTTTGTGAGGGTGGAAAGAGAGAGAAAGAGAGAGATCACCTGATCATGGTCGATATCTTTATGATCATCATAGTCTTTGGAGTTGAGAACAGAAAGATCAACAGCTGAAACACGATTGCTCCCTCCTGTAACTCGTGGTTCATGCTGCAGACTTGCCATCTCTGTCTCTGTCTCTGTGTGGGAATGCAGAGTCTTTGTATGTGAACAATCTCAAGTATGAACAGATTTGATGGTAAAGCATTGGATTGAATATGCTACTTATACTAGGGTTCTGCACATAATTCATGGCTACTAGATTTCAAGTTCAAAAGTTGCTTTCAGATTTTGGGCATGTCCATGCCGTTTGCATTAAAAAAAGACGGCTGCTGAGTTCAAGTTCTAAAGGTTGCTTTCAGTTTGTGGGCATGTCCATGCCGTTTGAATTAAAAAAGGATTCGAGCTTCTCCCTAACCCGATAACGCCCACCCTTTCCGCCACCTCCCGCCGCGAGAAACCTCTTCAGCTCTTGTATTTCTTTTTGCCGCCTCTTCCTTTTTCCTTTATCCACGTCTTTATCCACTCTATCACCATCATCATAAAGGTACCCACATCGCTCCATCTCTCTCGCTCTCAACCCCTAATCTCCACTGGAAGGAAAATCTGTATCATCTCTTATCTCTATCACCACCTGCTGCTCTGTGCTTCGTGTCTCTGAGGCTCAGGAGGGAAGAGACGACAGAGCTGATGCAGAGATTAGGAAGAGACGGAAGGAAAATCAACATCACCGTCACCGACACCACCATGACAAGTCGTCGCCGCCGCCCCCATGGTTTTACGTGCAAGTCGGACCAGGTACTCATCGTCTTTGTCCCTATTCTTGATCATCTCTTCTACATGTTCTACTTACTACTCACTTAGAATTTGATTTTGAAAGTCAATGTGAAATTGTGCACGTCCATGGAATCCTAGGGTTTACTGGATGCTTTATCTGCATAATATCTCTCCACTTGAGCTGTGTTCTGCCATGGCCTCCTCAGTCAAAGAAGTTATGTTTTCTCTTCTATGTTTGTTCTAAGGTGTTCGCTTTTCTTTCTCTGGCTGGTTCAGTGTTCCTGTTCTGATTGTTCTTCCGAGGACTATTTTGGGGTTTCCTGTTTTATGGTGGCAGGGTGTTATCACTGATTATAGATGATGCGTTTTTATTTTTTATTTCTTATATTAATGTTTGTAAGTCGGAAAGTCAAGATCACCCATGACTTCTCATGGAGTTCTGTTATGAATCCAGTGACCGGTAATTCCTCGATTTTTATAAGTGAATGCTTCAAATACGGTGACCATCAGATTAATTGGTGATCCATGGATAAAATTCTGGATCACAATTCTTCTTTGGTTACTCTTCGAATGATATCCACGAATAGATTTTGAACTGCTAATGACAGTGTCCCAGAAGAGGTTTGAAAGCCGAATTACTTTTTCGTCAGGTTCACATTCAGTTTCTAGACCACTGTCTTTTTTTCCTAAAAACTAATGCAAAACCATAAGAAAGAATGGTGCACATATCGAATCGATGGAGGTTTTGGTCAAAGTGGTTATGTTTCCAACTTTCGTGGTGATTCTTGGAATGAACCAACAATGTTGATTTCGAAAGATCTTGGAGAAAGCGATCAAATAAGTTCATCTGAAAACCAGGTAAAATTGATGATGTTTCATTTTGTGATGATAGTTGCGTAAAGGGATGTAAACGAACCGAACGAACACGAACAATGACTTGTTTATGTTCGTTCGTTTAAGTTAGCGGAACAAACGAACGAACACAAACATATAAACAAATGAGTTTTCTTATTTATGTTTTAACAAATTACCTTGTTCATGTTTGTTCGTTTATGTTCATGAATATGCTAAACGAACGAACATAAATGAACAAAAATAAATAAACACAATTGAACATATATAAACATAATGGAACATATAATATAGTAATATAATAACAAACAATTGAACATATAAGAACATAAATAAAATTAAATGAACGAACATAAACGAAAATTCACGAACATAAATGAACGGACGAAACCATTGTCATGGTCATTCGTTTAACTAAACAAACGAGAATTTGTATTCATGTCTGTTCATTTATTAAATAAACGAATACAAACAATCTTCCCGTCGAACAGTTTACGAATGGTTCGTTGAACGTTAGGTTTGTTTAAAACCCTAGTTGCGTAGCTTGTAATTGGTTCAAATAACTTTGCCCTGTTTTTTAATTATCTTGATGAACGTAATGAAGAAGAAAGAATCTATGTTTCAATTGTTTTGAGTAATTAGCTAAGTTTTGCCAATGAGTTCCTCTAAGTTATCTGTTATGGAACAATTATTACGGTTTCAAGACAATGTGCCTATAAGGAGCCTGATAGGTGGGTACCCACCTACCCATGAAGCATAAACGAAAGGATAAACAATCTTACCTATCGTTCATTTGGAATTTCTAAATTGTCATGAAGATCATAGCTCTGTACATACATGTGTAGGCAAGGCGAACATACATAAGCGAAAAAAAAAATGAGAACGCTACAAGAGCTTGTCCCTAATATATATGGTCAAAGTAAGATCATTTGTTAATTAATTATCCTCCTTAAATATCTACTAAGAATCTGTGTATTTGATATTTGTAGCAAACAAACACGACATACATGTTGGATTTGGTTATCGATCACATCAAATAGTGTCAAAAACAAATTGAGGTATGCCCTTACGAGAATCAAGTCATTAGTTAATTTATCTTTTTCATAACCCTGTACTTATAATATGGTATTACTTATTTTGTTTAAATTGTGTAACATTTCAAAAGACTTCAAATCATCATGCAAAGTGTACATGTCCACATAAGCAGGAAATCTAATGCAAGTTTAAACGTATATAGGTACAGCTTGCGAGCAGCCAAGGAAGGAGAAGAAGGTGAAACTTTGTATTAATTTTAGTATTAACATAAATCATAATAAGAAATTTGATTTGCTGAATACCCTTTTTTTCTTTTATAAAATTTCTTAGATATATGTGTTCAAGACATCCCTGACATTCATTGGCAATCCCACATCTTTTACTCTTTCAACCCGATGTTTTCAGGCTAATTGTTAGATGCATTTTATATGCATCTTTTAGCACGTTTTTCTCGGTATTTTCTTATAAAAAACTAATTTTCTCCGTTGTATTGCTATAAATTGTGTATTTCTCATTATAAATTAGACCCGTATGAGAATACGACAATTTGAGGATGCTTTCTATGAAGCATTTGAGCTTAATTGGAGTTGGAAACTGAAGATTGATGTTGGGGACTGATTAGAAGCTGCTTTAATTGAAGAATTACGACCAATCTGCGAGAAAAATATAAAACATGATTGTAACATCCTGTTTCCTGCCATTTCTGGGCAGTGGGCCGGAAGTCGATTGTGTAGGGTTTTGGGCCATAAGGAGGCAAAGTTTAGTCCTTGTGGAATAAGGTAATGTTAGTTAAGAGATTTTACCCTTGAATTGTGTTTTGGCCCGAATGGTAGAAAGGGAAAAGTCATAGACCGGGTTTTTGTATGAAATATGGATTTTTATTCGAGATGTTTTTAGTCCAAGATATTTAGATAATATTGTAGAGATCTTCAACACCTTTCCGTGGATATAAAGAACGTCAAAAACGGAGTTGGAACAAAGAAGTTACGACCGTTTGAAGTTAGGACGATTTTTGGGTTAGTCGCGTACGCTGGGCGTACGAGGAGTACGCTGGGCGTACTAGGTCATCCCTAGTACGCGGGGCGTACTAGGAGTACGCTAGGCGTACGCTGGACGTACGCGATCAGTGCCCAAACCTAATTTTCGTGGTTTGAGCCCTATTTAAGCTCCTTAACTCCCCAAACCCATTCCATTCTCAACCTCCACCTCTCAAACAAACCCTAACCCTAGATTGAGCCTTGTGAGCAAAAAAGGTGTTTTAAGTGCTTTGGAGTGTTCTTGGTGCACTTTGGAGAAGCAGGAGCTCATTGAAGAAGCATTGGTTGCTTTGGAGCTTGTAGATCCAAACCTTGTTCACATTGATCTTTCTTCTAGAGGTATAAAGTTTGAATCTTGATGATGAAATTGTTAGATCTAGCTAGTTTTGGGTGTTATGAGCTTTTGGTCACTTTAAGGGCATAAAGTTTAGATCTTGAAAGTTTATGACATTGTTATGGATAAAGTTGGAAACTTTATCCATCTAAACATCATTTTGATTCAGATCTTAAGGTTGGAGACTTGGACTTTGTCACAACCCGAAAATTTTAAACCCAACAAAGCCTAAACCCTAACCAAGTACAAGTGAAACCACATTGCAATCCTTGTTGCATTGTATCCTCTATAGCCTTAAGGGCATGTGTATAAGCTAATATCTAAGTATAGTTTGAAAGCTAAGTTGATTTATGTTAGTATAAATTAATATAAGTCAAAGGATTAAAGTTTAAACTATAAAATAACACCCCATATTGGAGTTTTCGGCCAAGAATTCAAGAAAACAAAGGAGTTTGCGGTCAAAAGAATCTAGAAATATGTAGTTTTCGGCCAAACAATCTAATTCAACTGGAGTTCACGGTTGGAATAAATCAAGAACAAGGGTTTTCGGTCAAAGGTGACCGAAATCAGCCCTTATGAGACCAAAATCATTTAGCTAAGCCCACATAGGACCGAAAACCCAATAACCAAGGGCCCTTTAAGGCCGAAAACACCATTCTATATATATTTGTTCAACCGTAAACACCCCTCATTTATCACATTTCACACCGTAAACACTTCCACTTTTGCTCTCGAGTATCATCCGTAAACCCCATAAATTCATAGGAATCTTGCCCAGATCTTCTTATTTCCACCAACAACACCAAGAACATTCATTCATATCTTCAAATCTTCAAGCATCCAACTGAAAACACTCAAGAACACACCGAAAACTCCATTTGTGCACCGAAAACGTCCAGAATTATTCCAAATAATTCCTAAGACTTTTGTAAGTAATTTTCTTACATAATTAGGGTGTTGTCTAACACTTTAATTATTATTTAAACCATTACTTAATCTATTATTTAAATTAATATCTTATTAATTTAAATACGATATCATATATAACTATTATTAGGATACGACTACTCGCACATATTCTAACCCGATGATCATCACTACCACTTCGTATCCAAACAAGCACACACACTAGAGGTGAGTTCATACCCCTACGTTTTCATTCTTTTTCAATGTTCTTGGGGGGGGGGGGGAATACAAGTAAAACACAAGAAATCTTGTGTAAATATTCAAATGATTTCAAACGATTTCGAACCATGTCTAACTATCACAACTGATTCAAACTATTTTAAAACGGTTTCAAACTACTTCAACTATTTTATACCTTGGTTTTGTAAAATACATGTTTATACAAATATAAAACTCGTTAGATAAAACTTTAACCCTTTTGTAACATGTCGAGCAAAAGGGTATTTTTCACAAACCTTTTATTTTCGCTTTATACACACTGTTAAATTGCAAGAGTTTTCAATTCATTACAGAACATATACATAAACTATAATAGGTATAGTTTGGGAAAACACTACACTATTT